AACAGCAAAATAAAGAATCTATAATGTGTTATTGTCATGGTAAGGAAGCAGAATAGATACAAAAAGCAAACAAATACAAACAGGGAGGATAGAGTCCAGTTCATTGGGAGGGGGATTTGGGAGAGAGAGGCAGAGGGAGGGTGATGGGCGTGGGAGAAAGAAGACTGACATGCGTCACATGTGTCACTTTTCTGCCCACACATTTTCTGCTGGTGTATGTTTGTGTCTTTGGGGACCATATTATTATCACACATATTCTATAAAAATAAATAACTAAAATTAACACAGATATGAGAAATCTAGATGGAATACAAAAAATAAAAATAAAAAAATCTACACATGAATGAATAAAACAACTAGGGGGATGGACTAGGAAAGAAAAGACGAAATTACTAAGTTCAGGATTGACTATTTGGACTATTTTCCAGACCAACGCCAAAACAACTGTGAATATTGAACTTGCGTTAGCGGCTCTGCTTGGCACAGGGTGTGAGGATGTGTGTGAGCACATTTCCATTCTTCTTCCCAGGTGATGGCCCCACAGGATTTTCCTCCTGAGCTTAAAACACGGGGTGTCTGTGGCCTGACAGGAAGTGAGGCTCCAGGGCTACTTCTGTCCAGGGGAGGACTGTGGCCCCTGCTGGCTCCCTCTGCTGCACTTCTGAATAAACAGACCTGGAGGGACCAGGGTCTGTCCTAGGAATTAGACAGGTTTTAAAATCAGTCTCTCCCTTTTTCTATCTTGCCCTCTCCTCCGGCTTCCGTTTTTGTCATATTTAAACTTAACATCTGGCTCGGTGCCTGACTCACAGCCAGGGCTCAATACATACTTGTGGGAAAGTGGCTAACAGTGAAATAGTGTTTTATCTTTCCAAGAAAGACTCAGGATTTAGAGAGAATCTAGGTGGGCACTGAGTCAGTGTTCAAAATTATCTCTTAAATGATTTTGGTCTGGCTATGGCTAAAGTTAATAAAGTCTGAATTATTATTTCACAAATAACAGAGTACTGGCCTCAGGCTAAGAAAGGGTGGAGCACTCATTCATTTTGAGAGTCCAAAATGAGGGAGCAGCTGGACAGAGAGAGACCTGAGAGAGCTGGGGCAGAGGGGACAGAGCTATGTGACAAGGGGCTGTACATGAGGAGCCTTTGCCAGGCCCTAACTAATGCTGGTGTTATGGCTATTTGTGGACTCAGAGAGATGTACCCAACAGAGACACAGCTCTCAGCCTTCATACTCTGTTTTCAGTCCAGATTCAGATTTGAAGCAAGAATTGAACCTTTTTGTAAATATGGATTTAACCCTCCACAAAAATCCAGGACGTACTTGTTTTAGGGGAGACAGAAGAGGATGATCCTCCCTCCATAATCATCTACAGGCCCCAGTCCTCTTGGTGAGATTGCTAAATGGAATGACGTTTAAATCTAACCATAAGTGAAGACTTAAACCCAGTTTCCCCGTGCAGTCATCACCCCTGTTCTCCAAGGACACCCCAGGGGAGCTGAGGGGGGACGGTGAGATAGATAAGAGGGAAACTGCCCCCAGGTTCTGACTGGGAGAGGACCACAAATGCATGGTACAAGAACAGACAGACAGAGTCGTTGTGTCCCCAAATCTGAGGACTCCACTATGGCTACCTTGCTATTAGGGTTTTGTTGAGCTAAGGGTGTTGCAGCCTCCTTAGCCCTTGGATCCCACACATGGAGGTCTTTACCCATAGACCATTCATGCAAACTACATTTCACTGTCTAATGTGCCACTGTTGTAGAGTACCCAACATTAAATTATTATTTGTTATATGTATCAGAAGACAATACTTTTGAAAACGTGCCAGAAAGAATTTACATATCTCCCTAGAAATGGCAATGTCAAGTCATTGGAAAAACCTGATACCGGAAAAGTGGTGCCCCAGCCAGCTCAGCTGAGTGGGACTTGGGGACCTGCCACCTCTGTCTTGGTGGCAACAGCCAGCAGAGGAACCAGCAGGTTGGAGCAAGTGGTGGGGAGCTTCCCTCCTTTACCAGAGGCTCCAGTAGAGCAGCGATAGAGGACCTGCCAGGTCTGCCTTGGCAGCAGCTGGCACAGAAACCTGTAGGCTGGAGCCAAAGGGGGAGCTTTCCTCTCCTACCGGAGGCTGGAGTAACAAAAAAGCCCAGGTCCATCAGGTGAAAACACTGGCGATTCCTCCAGTGCATCCCTGATTGGTCCATTTTCAATCCTGCTCCTGACTGGCCTATTTTATAGACCAATCAGCTAAGCTCTCAGCTCATTGGACAACTGCCCCTATATAAACCCCTGAGCAGAGAGCCTAGGAGAAGATCATCACAGACCTTCAAGGAAGATAGAGCAGAAGAGCAAGACTTTAGCAGACTGTTGCAGACCTCTGAGGGAGAAAGACGAAGAGTTGTAACACTTGGATCCTGTTCTACAAGGAAGTTTGGCTCTTTGTGAGAGCTGTAACACTTGCATCCTGCTCTGCAAGGAGGTTTGGCTCTTTGTAAGAGCTGTGACACTATAAAACCTATCTTATCCTGTTCTGCAAGGTTTCGCTCTTTGTAAGAGCTGTAATAATACCTCTGTAAATAAAACCTAACTTACTGCTCATCCTGTGGTCCATCGATTAATTCAGGGAATCGTCGAGACCAAGAGCTGGAAATCCAAAGTCAAAAATCTGGTATCAAACCCTCAGGATTCTCCCACACTTGAGCACAAGAGGCTTACCATGTACAAGACTGACCACTGAAGGGGCTTAGTGTGACATGGAAATGGTGGCTAGACTGACTCTGGTTTTATTATTATTACTACTATCATTACCACCCATCATAGCAGTCATAGAACTGAGGCCCAGTCATGACAACATAATACTGGAACATTTATTGGTTTTGTGTTGGCTCAGCTAGTCCATATTCAGTGGGGTAATGTTTGGTGATATAGGACCCTACTGTCTTCCCATGGCCCCTTTCTCCTCCTACTTGGTTTTAATGCACATTCTTCCCCAAGATGAGGGAAGGCCCAGGATTTTACGTTACTAATCTCAGGGGAGTAGATGAGCAAAACATTTCATTTTCTTGTTTTCTTCACTTTGGTAAATTAAATAATAAAGGCATAGAACCAAAAGTCTTTGAACAATCTTATTCAAACAGGTTGAAATATAATTTAACAAAATGCTGTTTTTGAACTCCAAAGCTGCCTTTTTAAATACAACCAAGAGCCACTGGATGAATTAGAGAGCATAGGGTGCCACATTACACAGAATTTTGATAAGTACAAGAAACTATGTCTGTCAGACAATTTTGTATTGCTACAAAGGAAATAACTGAGGCTGGCTGATTTCTATAAATAAAAGAGGGTTATTTGGCTCATGGGCCTCCAGACTGAACAAAGAGTTCAGCAGCAGCATCTACCTCTGGTAATGGCTGCAGGAAGCTCCAATCAAGGTAGAAGGTGAAGGGGCAGCAGGCTTGTCCTGTGGTCAGAGAAGAAGGGGGAGTGGGAGGAGGTGGTGCCAGCCTGTATTCAACAACCAGCACTCATGTGAGCTAAGGAAGTGAGAACTGACTTATTATTCCCTCGAGAGCACCAAGACTTTTCAGAGGGCTCTGCTCTCCTGACCCAAATACCTCCCACCACTGGGGATCGAATTTCAGCCTGGGAAGTCTCCATGTTATTTATGGCTGAATAATATCCCATGGTATTTACCTCTTTTGTATTTCCCTGGATGGAGTTGAAGCACATTCTCCTTAGAAATGTATGCCAAGAATGAAGAAGTATCCAATGTACCTAATACTGAACAAAACCAATAGAACAACAAAAAAAAAAACTACATACACATGAGAGAAAAGCACAAGTATGTCTAGGTGGGGGGAGGTGGAGGGAGAGGAGGGAGCAGGGAAAGGGGCATTGGGGAGCTCTCACCTAATGTGCACAGTGTGGGGTATGAGCACACCCCCGGATCAGGGGCTCAACTACAACTTGAACTTTACCTTAGGAATGAAAGCAATGTGACCTAATCATTTGCACCCTCATATTAATCTGAAATAAGAATAAATAAATATAAAAATAAAACTGAAGTACATTAAAAATTTAAATTTCAACATGTTGTTTGGAGGGCCCAAATATCTAAACAATATCACTGTAAAATCCAGATATTTCCTCGGGAAAAAAGAAGACTATTGAGATGTTGGCAGAGGGTGCAAATCAGAACATGAAGCACATGGCAGCCATCAGCTGTTGGCTCAGGACCCAGGTCTGTGGCTTTTATGCTGGGATACTGATGCTGCTGGGATTGGGTAGAGATGGGGCCCGGGTAGAGACTGTGATGGATTTCTCAGGAAGAATCACATCTGCCTGGCACTTAAGGCTGTGCCCTGATGCCACTGCAAGCTACACACCCCTAGTGAACACAAGAGGGCATGGGTATGTTTTGAAAACTTGTACCTACCCTCCTTATACACCTGGGGATGAGGGGTCTCATTTGGTTGCTGTGGAAAAATGGTCAGTCAGAAGAGACCATGTCGTTAAGATGAAGAGTATGTTGACAAGAAGGTTCAGAGGGAAAGGTCAGCAGGAGTTGCAATGTGTGGTCCCAAGAGTCTTGTCTGGAAATATTTGACAATATGTTGACTACCTGATAGGCCCCCTTTCCAAGACTTTGTTAGAATTCTTTACAAATAAGGGTATTTGCCTAAATACTCCCAATATAACTTGGAAATACATGATTCCATTTATTCTTCACAATCACTTTAACTTTTACCAATAGATGCCCCCAAATGTCCTTTTTAACAAAACATCCTCCAAGGAGAAAGACCATCTCTGCAGGCAAATCTGTGCTGCCCTGGTCTGCTCTGGGACACCTGGGGCACTGGGACTCTTCTGAGTCACTGAGATGAGCCAGCCCTGCAGCTGTGCCCAGCCTGCCCACCCCTGCTGATTTGCATGTTCCCAGGGTGCAGCCCCCTCCCTGGAGACTTATTAACAGGCTGGTCACACCCTCACCCTGTGCAGGAGTCAGTCCCTCTCAGGACACAGCATGGACATGAGGGCCCCTGCTCAGCTCCTGGGGCTGCTGCTGCTCTGGCTCCCAGGTGAGGAAGGAGAACACCCAGGATTTCCTAAGTCAGTATGGTCAGTCCAGCCTGGCTCCTGAGGGAGAATCCTGTTATAACTTTATTGATAACATATTATTAATATTGTTTCCAATCTCAGGTGCCAGCTGTGACATCCAGATGAGCCAGTCTCCATCCTCCCTGTCTGCATCTCTAAGAGACACAGTCACCATCACTTGCCAGGCCAGTCAGGGCATTAGCAGTTGGTTAGCCTGGTATCAGCAGAAACCAGGGAAATCTCCTAAGCTCCTGATCTATGCTGCATCCAATTTGCAATCTGGGGTTCCATCGAGGTTCAGAGGCAGTGGGTCAGGGAAAGATTTCACCCTCACCATCAGTGGCCTACAGGCTGAAGATTTTGCAACTTATTACTGTCAGCAGTATAACAGTTGGCCTCCCACAGTGTTACAAGTCATACCATAAACCCCCAAGGAAGCAGATGTGTGAGGCCGGGCTGCCCCAGCTGCTTCTCCTGGTTCCTCCATCTGCAGAGAGCATTGCTCAGAGGCAGCCAAGATGTGCAGGTTTTGGTAGACAGGGTCGGGGAGGCTCCTCTGCATTCAAATTCTTTCTTGCCCCTCAGCCTCAACACTGCAGATGTGATAATGTCTCCCTTGATTTAATAAAGGACACCAACTATGACACCTGACAAATGATTTGTAGCATCAGTCATAGAAATATGAAGCTGCTCTAAGGATTCCAAGGAAATCATTTTAATACAATAAACTAGAATCAGAAATACCAGCTTGCGTGTAGGGTGGTCAGGGATGCTGGTACCAGACACCAGAGAATCTTTGGTGGTTTGTCAATATTCAGAGTCCGTTTGTCACTGAGTTTATGGGCTGCCTAACCACTTGGTCCTCAGCCAGCTCCGGGAATCCCAAGGGCGGTAATGCCACTGCTTTCAGCTGGTGCAGCTCCTCCCCAGAGGATCCCCCATTCCTGAGCTTTGCCCAAGGGCCTGCCTGCAGGTGCTGACAAAAATCGAATCATCCTTTTTGGCTTTTCCAATATGAAGGAAGGGCCTGTCTTCAAGTAACTCTAAAAGAAACCACACAGAGGAAAGGAATTTGGCAAAATTTGATTCCAGAAAAGATAGTGGTGCTAACAGAGGTCAATATTTCCTCAAATCTCAAATCTTTTCAGGTATGAGATGGTGTCAGAATATGCTTGAATGAGCTTACACTTACTGATAGGAAGTCTGAGATCCTTACAGGAAAACAAAGATCTATTACGCTATGGAGTAAGCAGAAAAATGAGGAAATTGCCTAAAATATATAGCAGTCATTTGACAAAAAACCTCTCTTGACCAAACAAATAGGAAAACCTAAAAGCTCATATTGTATAAATCGTCCTTCATAGAAAAATTTTGCTACTCGGAGTTTGTCCAGAAGCCAGTGCACCCGCAACGCTGATCCCTGGGAGCACGTTACACATGGTAAGTAGCAAACGCAACTCAGGCACGGTGAATGACAGCCTTCATTTTAACAAATTAACAGATAGTCCGTAATGTTTTTAAGCATCTGCATTTTAAAGAGCATTTACTTCAGGGAAAGATATTTCTGTTTCCAATGAGAAAAGCCCTAGGTTGAAAACACACAGCTTTATTTCTATTTAATGCAAAACTACATTTGAAAAATCTTTATGTAATAAACATAAAAATTATGAAAATATTATTATTTTCCTTTGAAAAAATGCCTTGAAAATTAAATGCAGTAAATATGTCAGAGCCTTGATAAATCAACAAAGTGAAAGGATAACAATTGTGGACAACTAACTGCATTAGACGTTATGATACTTACAATCATCTGCTTACCTTGATTTAGAGATTTTGTTCAGATCTGCTACTCGCTGTACAAATTATTTACTTTACATATTCACTTTCTTGGTCCCAGAACAAACACAATCCAAAGGCTGGAGACGAGCACAGTGTCCTGCAGTAGAACCACCACACTGACCACCCTCTTCAGCCAGAGGAGTGTTCACATGAACATCCATCCTGAAAATAAATGCTTGGTGTATTAGCCATGGAATTTGGAGCTACTTTGCTAGCATATGTATGTTCTTCCATAACTGAGGCAATTTTTATTCTTATTATGCAAATAGTTTTTTAAAATATCCTCTCAACAAATTACTCAAATGGATCTCTAAGTGTTCACATTTATCCCATCAGTTTTAATTAAATACATCTATCTATGGCAAGATGTGTAAATAGTCCATGGGTCAGCTTTTGTCCAGGTGGTCAGGACAGTCAAGGCTGTTGCCTCAGCCTGCGTGTGGCATTTCAATCCTTGTTCAAAGAATTTAATCCCTGTGTCTTTCTATTTCAACAATCATCTTGAGTCAGTGAGATTGTGGTGACATGAGTTTGAGACTATGTACTGAGGACTGACCCTGGGGAAGCCCTAATGTGAGACAGTGGATCTCCCCTGGAGACTTGCACATTCTTCTTTGATGGAACCAGCAGACACAGATAAGGGGGAAACAGGCTGAGCAGGAAGGAGGTGGCTGCTGCATTAAAGACGCACTGACCCGAAGCCTGGAGGTGAACTTGAGTCTGACACACTGAGGAAGGGTGGCCGTGCTGCTGCTGACAGTAGTAAACTGCCACATCTTCAGCCTGGAGGCTGCTGATGGAGAGAGTGAAATCGGTTTCAGATTTATTACTAAAAATTGATAGATGAGCCCAGGTCTCCAGATGAGTGCTCAGGAGATGAGCAGCTTAGGAGCCTGTCCTGGTTTCTGCCGTGGCCAGGCTAATTAGTTCTCATTAATGGAGTTTGATAGAGGACTCTGGCCTGGCTTGCATCTAATGGTGACCCTCACTTCTAAAAGCCAGCAGGGGCTGGAGATTGTGTCTTGGCAGTGTTTCCACAGGCAGCTTATTTCAGGGAATTCCTAGAAGGGTGTTGAAAAACCCCCTCCTAATTAAAATGACTCCAAGAGACCAAAGAAATGACCCAGACCAAACCAGCTTGGGGAGTTAGATGAGTGTGTCTGAGCCTACTGATAGAGTCAAGGTAGGAATTCTTCAGGCTCTGACTCTAGGGGGCTGCAGGAGTTTTTCTGAGAGTGAGATCTGCACTGCCTGACTGTTGTGGAGTCTTAATGGCATGTTGTGAACAGTACATTGCATTTGTATATTTGCATACAGTAGAGGTTCAGCAGGCACAGTACTTCCCGTTAGGCTGGTACTTTACTCTTACAATTAACTGAAAGGTACTAAGACAACTAAGGCAGCTTAAAATGGTCCAGACTGGTCTTACAATTTGTGTTGATTTGCACAAAAGGAGCTACTTAAGAATACCTGTGTGCTTTATATTTCTTCCCCCTTTTAATTTAGCTATTTTTGAGCTCAAAAGAGAGCTGGATGTATTCTGTAAAATATTCACAGGCCAGTCATGGTGAACTTGTGTTTTTCCCTCACAACTGTGATCAAGAATGGACAGTGACTAAATTTTGCATCACCAAAACATTAAAATGTATACCTAAAAATGTAGGTTAATTTATTTGTTATAAATATGCTGTTTTCAATGAAAGTTTTAAAAAATTTTTGCATATTAAGTTGTTTTTCCTTTTCTTAAAGGTTTTACTCTTCTAAACCTCTCATCTGAGACCCAGAGCACCAGGAAAGTGAGAATGAGAGCTGTGGATCCATCTTGCTGCCACTCACCTGTCTGATGAGCTCAGGCCCCCGTCCAGGGAGCCCCATTAATAGAGCTTTGAGCAGCCAGCCTCACTCCCAAGCACCCTAGGCAAAACCTCAGAGAGTCCGAGGGTAAAAGTGCCAAATCAGTGAGTTGTGAGGACAACAGAAGAGGGGAGAAAACAATCCTCATCCCACACAAGTGCTTGTAAGAACCAAAAAACAACTTCAGGAAAAGCTCCAAATGGAACATATTTGTTTGTCTTTAGTATCTCTTTATTTTATGTTAGGAAACATTAGATGTTTTTATATTCCAGATTATGATGAGGGTACAAATGTTTAAGTTACATTGTTTTCATTTCTAAGGCAAAGCTCAAGTTGTAGTTGAGCCCTTCACCCCAGAGGCATGTTGAGCACCCGCACATTGCACACATTAGGAAAGTATTTGTATGTCAGTTGTAGTCTTCCAAACCAGCTGTAGTGAATTTGACAGCATAAATTACTTTTGTCACATACTCTACATGTTTGTGAGTGTAAAATTTCACACCTTAATGGAAATCTATAAACACGGCACCAGTATATAAATTATATTTATGCTACTACATAGAATAAGGACACCCTTTTAAATTTATTTAGATATTGAGGTTCCTCTTGTACCTCTCACAGGCACTTCTACATCCAGAGCAGACCTGTGATGTTTCCCTCACATAAACACTCAGAAGAGGAGTCATCACAGACTTAGGAATCACTCTTGTTACTGCTTCTAGATCAACCAGTTAATCAAATAATCTCTCTAGTTTCTCAGATCCCTCTGTCCTGAGCTGATCTAAGGTGTCACAGCTCCTCCTGGGGGAACTGGGTGAAAAGCTCCTGCTCCTGAGCTCAGAGCAGTTCTTTCTTTATTCCATAATAAACAATAAAAATATAAAGTTACATGAATAATGAATAGTGGTATTTGTATACAACTATATACATATATAGTTGTGTGTATATATATAGTTTATATCTATCTATCTATCTATCTATCTAAACATGTCTGTATCATTTACTCTTCTAGGCAGAGGGCGTTGTGAACAAACGGAACCCCTGCCCTCCCAGAACTTTCCTTTAATGGGAGTAACAAAAAATAAACAAGCATATAATATTTCTCAGTCACTCCTTTACTATTCCCTTAATACCAGCCCTCTAGAGTGATGCATTACTCAGGGTAAGTGGGACATGGGAGTCCAGGTCCACTTTGTGTGCCCTCTTCCTCAGCATGGACACGGTCAGAGAATAAGGGCACACGTCAGTGAAGTAGAGCACCCATGCTTCCTAGAAAAATAAAACCCACTGTAGTCTCATTAATTGCTGGAATTCAAATCATGTTTGGATCACAGTGACCTTTGAATTCATCATGTCCCTGCATCAAGATACCAGCCAGGTCAGGTATCTTTGACAATAATCAGTCCTTTGACTCCGTCTATGAAAATGACTGAACCCGGCTTTAGCAGACAGTCTTTTACATAGTCTGTGTTTAATACTTACTTGCAGGAAAGATCACTTTCTTCTTTATTATTTTCTTTTTTTCTTTAAAAATAAAGTAGTTCTGGGTAAAGGAGACATTTTTCTTCTGTTTATTCAGATCTATAGAGATTCTAACTTATTTTTGCCTCCTGTATTCTTTAACTCAGAGCTCTGGTTTCAACTGAGAGAGAACACACTGATACTCTCATCTGAATCAACTATTTTCTCCTTCTAAAGCTCCTAATTACCATAAGGTTTTGGAAAGACTTAT